CGGTGGCTTGCCTGCTGGGGCTTCGTGTGTTGGCCTCCTGGGCGCCCGGCAGTCTTCGGGGGCCTCTCGGGCTATCGCGGAAGTCAGTTGGAGGCCGTTTTGGCAGTCTCGGGGGCCTCCCGTGGATTTTCCAGCAATCACATGCCTCCTGGATCCCTCTGGCGATGGCGAAGGCCTTACGGCCGGGGCCGCCGACCCTGAATGGGGAATGACAATGGTGGCGGCCACAACGACGACGACGCTGACGTGGGTCAGAGTCCTCATGGATGCTTTTTGGGGTCTCTTCGAAGCGCTCGCTCTCGGTGGCCTCTGGGGGATAGTTTGGGGGCCTCTTGGAAGCCTTTTGGGGGCCTCTCGGGGCTTCTTGAGGGTCTCTTGCGGGCCTTCTGATTCCTGCTGGGAGCCTCTGGGTGCCGGGCTCGAAATGTCCGTTCTGGTCCCTCATTTGGGTACCCTCTTGGAGCCGTCTTGGGGGCCTCTTGTGTCGTCTTGGAGGCGTCTGGGGCCGTCTTGGCGCTCTTTTTGGCTGTTTTGTGTCCCTCCTGGACCCCTCTTGGGCCGTTTTGGGGCGATCTGGGGGGCCCCTTGGGCCGTCTTGGAAGATCGGGAAGCGGAAGAGGCGAGAACACCGACAATTTTAAGAACTGAAGGAAAATCTGTGATTTTTCCTCTTGGTGCCCTCTTGGGAGTGCTCCTGAAGGCCTCTTGGAGCGTCGTGCAGTGCTCTTGGGCCGTCTGGAGACCGTCAAGGCGTCTCTGACAGATCGTTCGGCGATGCGTGGCCCTCGTGGACCGTCTTTGGGGCCTCTTGGGGCACTCTTGGCCCGTCTTGGGGCTCTTTTGGGCGACGGCCCCCCCCCTCCCGGGACCCGGGACCCCGGACCCCCTGCCGGGACCCCCTGGGGGTAGTCGTATCTGACCCAGGACCCCCCCCCTTCCCGGCGGGGGAGGGATCAAAGGGAAGGGACTTCCCGTCGAGTCAATTGCGACGTTGCTCACTTTCGCTTTGGCTGGTGCGCTCGATGAGGAGGGCCTGGGGAAGAGGGGGGAGCGACGATGGGCCCAGCGATTGAGGAGGAGGGTGCAGGGAAAGGGGCGTTGAGCGGCGACGGGCCCAGGGAACGGGAGGGCGCAGGGAAGGGTGACGACAGAGTCGATGACTAACGGTTGACGGAGACGACGACTCCAACGAACGAGCCCCTCACACGCGCCAACAGTGTCGGCGGATTAGTTTTCAGTTTTCTTGGTGACGTCTTCGAGATCTAACAGGCCATGTGGATTCTTGGAAACAGTAGGGAGGCCATGCTCAGAACCCATGTGTTCCTTTCGAGGCCATCTGGGACGCCCCACAGGGGCAATTGTTCGGTGGTACATCGTCTACGTACCGAATCCATAATATCAGTTTCTTTTCACATCGTCCGCGTCATCTGTCTCACAGGGGAAATATGAAGCCTTTTGGCATAGAATTCCACCGAAGCTGAGATCAAGAGGAGGGGACAGGATCGCACGGACTAGAGAGAGCAGCTTGTCACTACCCGCCACAGGGCTGGTGGAATTGACATCCCTCTTAGTTGAAATCGATGCTCTCGCCCTTGCGCCAACCAGATTCCTACTTGCACGAGATTGTCCTTCAATCGGGTCACCAGCGGCATCCAGGAAATCCGCGCGGACCTTGGAAAGTTGATGTTCCTGCAGTTTTTATGTTCCTCTAACTTCACCCTTATCCCAGGCTGGTAATGCTGCTGTCTGTACTCATCTTGGCTCGGGCTGCTGAAAGGGCTGGCCGGCGTCTCGAGTGCAGCAGATGCGGTCCTTGCGAGGTGTATTTGGCAACACTTGGTTAGTCCTGCCGATTTTGGGTGCGGTCTTGATTGGTGGCACCGTCTACCCGAGCTTGTATGCCCAGCGCGCCAGTGCCACTTCGCAGTATGTGGCCGCTATACCTGGTTCTCTGGGAACGTTGGGGTCCGTTGGTTCGAACTCACTTCCGATCCAAACGTTGGAGAACGTCGGGATATTGAACATTGGGAGTGTCGGAAGACTGAACTTGGCTGGGTCCCCCAACGAGGTAAACGTGACCAAGTCTCCGAAAGGGACAGACGCTGCTAGTTCTCCCAACCATGGAGACGTGGATAAAGACAAGGTGGAAGAGGCGAATGCTGACGTGGCTAGGTCTTCCAACGAGGTAAGCGTGACCAAGTCTCCCAACAAGAAAGAATCGGCTACTTCTCCCAACCATGGAGACGTGGATGAAAACAATGCGGAACGGGCGAATGATGACTTGGTCAGGTATTTTAACGAGAAGCGCGTGGCTATGTTTCCCAATGAGGAAGATATGTTTTGTTTTGAGGGGCAATGTTCGTTGCGCCTTGATCGCGAGAGCGCGGAGTTCCCAAACTTTTTTCTTGGTGTCGGTCCTGGGAGATCTGGAAGCACTAGCCTTATTTCCGCACTGAGAGATCATCCAAGTGTGATTGTAGGCGACGCACGAAATCATCCGACCCAGAAGTGCTGCTACTACGAGCTGTACATACTGGACAAGGTGAGGGAGTGTGCGAAAGGTCAGAGCGCGTACGTGGATTTCTTCACCAGCGACACGAAATCAAAAAGGAAAACCCATTGGTTCGGGGAGAAAACTCCCATGTACTCGTCGCACCGGCTGGTCCCCTTCCGGGCGAGGGCCATGTTTGGCCCCTCGCTCAAGTTGTTTCTCACCTGGCGCAATCCAGCCCAGATCTTCGCGTCGCGGTATCTTCAATTGTATGAAGAGTCGAGGGCAACTTTGAAGGATGCAAATTTTAGGCAGTGGGCGGATCGTCACTTGGACACTTTCAGGGGAATTGCACAGTGCCGCAAGGACCTGCTGCAGAAGTTTAGTTTGACGGAGCGGATGATTTACGATTCGACGTTTACCATTCATGCGACAGCCGCAATGGAAGATTCTATAGGCTTACGCCACATCCGCCGACCCCTATAAACTACTGCGTTTCCAGGACTGCATTTCACGAGGCTTGTCCGAATCATGACACGGCGCTCGACATCGTTCCTGTTGCTTCGTTGCTGTCATCGTATCTCTTGGTGCTCTTTTGCGGCCTTTTGGTGGCATCTTGGCCTGTCTGCAGGCCATATCCGGCCGCCTCGAGGCATCTTGGGCCAAGTTTTGGGGCCTCTTGGGGGCTTCCTGGGGGCTTCTTGGAGGCCTTTGAGGTTCTCTTGGGGGTCCCTCAGGGCCTCTTGGGTTGTTCTTGGAGCGCTGGGGGCGTCCTCGGGCCGAAGGCTCGAAACGGTGCCCTGTGGGCTCCGTCTTGGAGCCGTCTTGAGCGCCTCTTGTGCCGTCTTGAGCGCCTCTTGGGCTGTGTTGGCAACCTCTTGGGCCTTTGTGGGGACCTCTTGGGCGCTTCTTGGGCCGTCTTGGGGCGGTCTTGTGGTCTTGTGAGCTTCTGGAGCCGTTGTCGACGCCGTGAAAGCTCAAAGACCGTGTATATATATATATATACATATCAAAAAGGTGCGTTTTCCCATCGGAAATGGATGAGTTTTGCTTGTTGGGGACCTCTTGGGGCGCCTCTTAGTCGCATATTAAAGCCTTGTGGACGCGTCTGGGACCGTCTTGGAGGCGTCTGAGATCGTCTGAATGCCATCTGGGGCGTCTTGGCTCGATCTGTCGGCGACTCGGAGCTTTCTTGGACCGTCTCGGGGGCCCGCTGTCGACGCCGTGAAAGCTATACATATATACAAATATATATATATATATATATATATATATATATCGGAGGTTGGGGGGTGAGATCGAAGTGGAACGGAGAGCCCCCCTACCGGGAAATCGATTTCGGTTTCGTGTTCGTGCGT